TATAGATAATAAATCATTTATGTTTCAGATAAAATAATCAAATCAAAAAATTTTCAACAGAAAAAAAAATCAATCAATTGATTCTATAAATCTATAATTTTTGTTTTCAATAAATTAAAAAAACCGCTATTATAATTATAATGTTTATCATTTTATTTTATTTCATTCTGAAGCAAAACCACATAGTATCATTAAATGATAATTCAAAAAAAAAAATTCATCGATTTTGTTCACAAAAAAAAACATTTCGTTTTAATCAACGATGGAAATTCATTTTATTCGTCAACCTAAACAACCAGGTTTTGAAAATTTCAATTTCAAATTTTTTTTCATCATTCTAAAAAAAATAACTAAACTGAATTTTAATGGCGCCCACATCTATTCATTAACATTCAACTTGTTGTTGTTGTTATTGTTGTTTGTCCATTAGCATCACCCAAAAATATTAACAGCATTTGTAGTAATTGATCATTGTAAAAAGGACTGGATGAATGTTGAGCGCCCAAAATAAAAACAAAAAACAAAATTCTGGGCGTTCATCAATTCATCAATCATTCATTCATTAAATTTATTTATTCATTTGGAAAAGGCCAAAGGTTGAATAAGATGAATGGAATGACCTTCAATGGTCTTTGAAAAAAAAACATTGGCACACAAGCGACAACCATTAAATTCATTATGATAGACTGTTTCACCTGTTTAATTAGGTGTGTACACTGTCTATAACATCGAAAACGAAAAAAAAACACACAGTTTACAATAAGATGACATCAATCCCCAATACGAACATTAACACCATTCTTAGATAATGCGATAGTTTTTCGACAACAACAACAACAACAAAGTGAAATGTAAGAATCCTGGGAATTTCTGTCAACTTTCTGTTCTACCAATGAATCTTACTTAACCCGTTTTTATTCTTTCTCCTATCGCTTTATGAGTGTATATTATGTGTGTGTGTGAAAGAATTCTTCAGAGAACAAAGTATGTTCACCATGTGAATCAAGCAATAAATTAAACAATAAGATGCAGAAACGAAAGACAAAAAGAATTCATGAAATGGAAAACAAAATTAGATCCTAGACAATAGCAAAATAAAAATCATGGGTTCCGATTGTTTGTAACATCAAAACAAGCAGAAAAAAACAGATATTAAATGTGATCATCATCATATCAAAACGAACCATTTACCAGTAACAAATAAGAAAAAAGTGAAATGATCCAAAGAGCTCAACCTGTATATGTTACACATTATACAAACACAAGCATCAGACCAGGCCAAACAAAACTCAACAAAAATAAAAAACAAAACAAAACAAAACATTCATTGTTAGCTCTGCGGATTCACAACATGATGATGATGATGATGATGATCATCATCATCACTTCTAGGTCCCAAATGTGCCATTTATTTTAATATAAACTTGGGTTACAGTTTGTTTTTGTTTCTCTCGCTCATTTTCTGATATCTATGATATGTGTGATGGTGACTGAGAAAAAAAAAATTGAAAGCAGAGTTTATATTCAATGTTGTTGTTGTTGTTGAAAGCAACAAAAAAAATATATATAAAAAACCCAAATAGAATGTTATGGGTATAAAAAAAATTGTTATTATTTATGATCTTAATTCTATTGGTGCAATAATAATAATAATAATCATGATAATATCAACCATATCACAATTGACACAAGGTTTTGTTGTTGGTTGTTTGGTTGGTTGGTTGGCTGGATCGATCATTCATCCGATTTTTTCTTTTTTCTTCGATAATAATCGTTTACTGTATTTATTTATATGTTACATTATTCACACAACTGCACTGTTACGAAAATAAAAAACAAAAAACAAACATTGTATGCAAGTCTGTTTCATTCATTCATTCATTCATTCATTATATTCATTCATAATGATTGAAATCGAAAGAATTTTTCAGATCATTTTTAATGAACAACGTCAACAATGATATTATTTTCAATGCTAATGATGATGATGATGATGATAATAATAATAATCGCAATGAATTTGCAAACCCAAATATTAGAATCGAATCGAATCGAATGCAGTTTATTTTTTTCTCAGTCGTTCGTATGCTTGTTTACCAGTGACTTTTTTTTTTGTTGAAAAAATATTTTTCTATTCTCGTTATTATCGACAATCATTATCATTATTATAATCATCATTTACATATTTTTATCATAAATTTTCTCAGATAACAGCCAAAAAATTTTTTTTCACTGCATTCAATAAAATAAATATGATAATGGTAATGGTTGAAAAAAATTCATTTTTTTCTACAACAACAACAAAAAGAGAAAAAAAATTTTCTTTTTAACGAGCAATAAATACGATTAACAAGCAAATCAATTGATGGTTATATGCATATCCTTTATCATCATCATCATCATCATCATCATTCCGATGATTCGATCGATCTGATCTAGATTATCACATCTCTTTTCTTTCATTTTTTTCCCACTTAATCTTTAACGTTTTTTTATTTATTTATTTATTTAGACTTTTTTCCATTCATTCATTCATTCAATCATTCTATCCAATCAGAATGATATCCGCGTCCGTCTTTAACGTCCATACACGTTTTTTAACCATCATTATTATTATTATAAACAGGACCGATATAAAGATAAACTACTACTGATGATACTGTTGTTGTTGATATTGACGTTTTAAACAAGATTCACTTGTTAACCAAAAAAAAGAAAACTAAGATTTAAATATCACGATTTATGAATAAACTATCATAGACTATTTTACCATCAAACAATCACGATTCTAACCATGATCAACAAAAAAGAGAGAATCACGAATCATTGAATATCTGAGTTTTTGTTGCTCACCAATCTTATTGTGGACAAAAACAACAACAAATACCGCATTACCAACTGCATTGATCAACTGCTTTCTCATTTGGTTGGGTGAAAATTTTAAGCAGAAAAATTGAAAATCATGACAAATTATCACCCGACAAAATTATCAAAAAAAAATCATCATTATTTTTTTTCTGAACATAGTAATGCCATCTAACGGAATATCATAAAGTTTGATTTCAATAAAAAAAAATCAAAAAAAAAATTGAAAATGAAAAAAATTTGACAAAATTCATTTGAAAAAGAAGGAAATTGCGTGCAAATCAGGGTAAGGAATACAGAGTGTAGAAAATAAAAACAAAAGTTGAATGACCAAACAATAATAATTTTTTTTGTTGTTGTTCGAATTGTTCGAATTAAAATCGAATCGATCAATCATAATTTCTGCTACTACTAATAGAAAATAATAATAATGATGATGATTTGGAAATGATCAAATTTTCTCAAGAAAAATGAAATTTAAATTATCGATTGGCTGGCTGGCTGTTGGTTTAGGTATTTCAAAGCGAAAAAAAATTCAGCTACCTGAATATCCTGCTGCTGATGATGATACCCTTCAATTAACACTCAATTTTCGATTGCTTTGCTTTTCGATAAAAGTGTTAATAATTAACACGTTCCAACAATAACAACAACAACTTAGTCAATAATTTGTAGGTAACCTGTATATTTTAGTTCATATGAATATAGCCAGATGGTAAACGGCTTCTGAAATTTTATTTTTTCAAATGTTCAAAATGGTTTTGAATGAATGATTTAGAAAAAGAAAAACGCCGCTTTACACCACAACAGTTCCATTGTCCAAACTATGGTCTGGTATTAAGAAAGGTGCCAATCTACAATTGATTTTTTCCTTTTTTAAATCGACCTTACGGGCATCATCATCATCATCATCATCATCTATGACCACCATCATTGCTTCACTATACAATACAACGACGACATAAGGTCAACGGTAATGATCATTTTATTTTCACACTTGACTATATCAGACCTTGTTTTTTTATTATTTTGTTACTTTGAAAAAAAATGAAAAAAAAAATAGTTGAATCAAAACAGACAGACCACAGGAAAAGTAAATTGTCACTTGGCAATTGATAGACATTTGAAATGGTGGTGATGATAATAATAAACAGGTCAACAACAACATTCTCTTTGGCCCGCACACATACATACGAAAATAATACAAAAAGAATGAAAATTCCTTTCTATAATAATAATAATAATAATAACAAACAATCGTCAGTGGTAAGATAATTGAAAATTTGATAATAATTATTCTTTTTTCTTACAATTCTCATTGGAAATGGTCAATCGATCAAAAAAAAATTGAAAATTATGTTCAATCACATTTTTGGGTTCCCCTCTACATAAGATTCGGAAGATGTTGATGTTACAAAGAATTTTTTTTTTTTTTTTTTTTTTTTAAAAAAAATTTTTTTTTTTTTTTAATTTTAAATTTTTTTTTGGTTCAAAAAAA